GCAGACACGCAGACACGCAGACACGCAGACACACACACACGCACACACACGCACACACGCACACACACGCACACACGCACACACGCACACACGCACACACGCACACACGCACACACGCACACGCACACCCACACCCACACCCACACCCACACCCACACCCACACGCGCGCACCCCCCACACACACACACACACTCACGCACACACGCTCACGAATACGCACGCTCACGCGCACGCCCACGCCCCCGCCCACGCCCACGGCCACGCCCACGGCCACGCCCACGCCCACGCACACGCACACACGCACACACGCGCACGCACACCCGCACACCCGCACACGCACACGCACACCCACGCGCACGCCCGCGCCAACGCCCACGCCCGCGCCCACGCCCACGCCCACGCCCTGAACCACGACGCGCGGTTTCTGCTGGTGGGCGACTTCCGGCAGCTCCCGGCCGTGCTGGACACCTGGGCTGGCACGCCCGTCAACAAGCCGCTGCGACACAGCCAGCTGATGCTGGACCTTGCGGGCGGCTGGCGGCACGAGCTGACGGAGAACAAGCGCAGCGACGCGCGCATCTTCGACCTCGTGCGGAGCCTACGCGTGGACGAGCCGGACCAAATGCCCCTGCAGGAAGCTTTGCAGACGGCGCGACGACTCTTTCCGCGCAAGCCAGGCGTGCCGGACACCACACTCACGATCAGCCACGCCCAGCGGATGGCGATCAACGCGGACGCGAACCGTCGGCTGGCCCCGGCGGACGCGCAGCTCGTGGAGCCAGAGGAAGACCCGGACACCACCGAACAAAACAAGTCGCAACCCATGCGCGTGTGGCCGGGCCTGAAGCTCATCGGGACAGTCGCGGCCTGCGGGGACAACATCGCACTGGAGAGCGGCACCGAGCTCACCCCGCAAGAGCTCTCAAGCCAGACGCGCCTTGCCCACGCGCTCACCTACGCGTCGAGCCAGGGCCTGACGCTCCAAGGCAGGGTACACCTGGACACGCGCTCTGAGCACTTCACGCTGCAGCCGAGCCACCTCCGGCAACCTTCTAGAGGTCGTCTAAAACTGAAAAGGGGCCGCAGCAGAACAGCAGCTTGGCGGCTTGCCTCGTCCAGTCTCGTCCGACCAGACGCGCGGGCCAACCCCGTTTTGGAAGTGTCCGGTGGCTTGCTGCGGGACGGTGGGGGCGGTCCGGCTTTAAAGAAACGGATGCCCGCGCTGCTGGAGCTCTTCAAGGGCACGCACGCACGCACGCACGCACACATGCACACACGCACGCCTGCACACCCGCACACCTGCACACCCGCACACCCGCGCGCCCGCACACCCGCTCACCCGCGCACCCGCGCACCCGCGCACCAGCGCACATCCACGCACACTCGCGCACATCCACGCACACTCGCGCACACCCACGCGCACCCACGCACACCCACGCACACCCACGCACACCCACGCACACCCACGCACAGCCACACACGCACACGCGCACGCACAGGCGCACGCGCACGCGTACAGTGCGCACGCGCACGCGCACGCGCACGAGCACGTTCCTGCCACACCCACGCCCACGCCCACGCCCACGCCCACGCCCACGCCCACGCCCACGCCCACGCCCACGCGCACGCGCACGCGCGCCCACATTCACGCCCACGCCCCCACGCCCCCACGAGCGCACGCACCCTCGCACCCCCGCCCCCCGCCCAACACACACACAGACAGCCTTTGCGGTAAATCTCGTTGCGTCCCTGTAGGTACGCAGGCTTGGGGTTCGATGACAACATCATGGGGGACCCCGCCACGCCGGGGGCGCAGAACGTGCCTTGGGCAAGGGACCTTATACTCAGTCTTACTCATGACGGTTTTTGCATGGTGAAAACTGCTGTGTGGAGTGATGCCCTGGCCTGTTCTCCCGCGCAGGTGTGCATGCTGGCGGCCTTCGGGAACGGCGGCGTGGTGGACGACAACTGTGTGCCCATCGTGGGGACCACGGACTGGGTGCCCAGAGTGTGTGCCCAGTGTGTTTGTTTGTTTGTTTGTTTGCTTGTTTGTTTGCTTGCTTGTTTGTTTGTTTGTTTGCTTGTTTGTTTGTTTGTTTGTCAGTTTGACCAGACAAGACTAGACAAGGCAAGGCAAGACCAGACAAGACAAAATAAGACAAGACGAGGCAAGAAAAGACTAGATCAGACAAGACAAGACAAGACCAGGCAAGACAAGACGACCAAACCAGACAAGCAAGTGGGTCTTTTGTTGTTTGGTCTGGTCTGGTCTTGTTTGTTTCTTTGCGTGCTTGTTGACCTCACCAACCCTAGTTGTTCCTTTTGAAAGGAAGGGGCAAGGAATGCCTCAACTTCCATGTGACAAAGGGCAGACTTCTTTCCGTGGACGCTGTGTGCCGAGACACGAGCACAGCTGTCACCAAGCCTGAGCAAAGCCTTCAGAGAGAATCAGAGAATTGTTGCAACGGACTCTCAGGCGAATGAGTTCAACGGCAATCCGGAGCAGCATTACTTCGGTATGGAGGGCTTTGACTGTGGCTTCAACTTCATGGCCTACTCGGCAGGCTGGCGCTTGATTTGGGCCAGGTGAAGCGTGCCAGAGGGAATTGGTTTGGAAAGAGGGCGAGTGATCTCTGTAGTGCTGCGACACTTCGACAAGCTTGCGCTTCAAGGCACCTAGAGCTGTTGTTCCGCCTCCTGCTCAGCTGGTTGAGCAGCCGCAAAGGCTTTACTCCCACATGATACATACCATCCACATCCCAAGAAGCTGGGAGACACGAACACATTGGTGTGGCCAGCTTGAGTCCTCAGTGGAATCCAAAGAGCCATCCACCTGCCAGGTGATACCATCAATTGGAACTATCCCTTGGGCAACACCTGCATTGGAGATGCCGACCTGGACCTTGGGCTCACCTCGATTTATTGCATGTTTTCCAGCAGCTGCGGACTGGGAGGAGCTGCGGAGACAACCACAACCACGACCACAGTGACCACGGGGACAACAACCTCCGCCACTTCAACGGCCACCAGCACGGTGTCTACCATTTCATCCACGTACACCGCAACCAGCATCACGGCCACTCAAACTTTGACCTCTTCTACAGCCACGGCGACTACCGTGTCCGCCACATCAACGCTGACGACAAAGACGGCAACGACTTCGCAGACTATGCCACCGACCACAACTGTCACCACGGTCACAACGGTGACCGCTACACAGACTGCCACAGAGACAGCTGTGGCAACAACTGTGGCAACAACTACGACAACAACTACGACAACAACTACTACGACGACAACTGAGGCAACCACTACGACAATAACTACGACAACAACTGTGGCAACAACTACGACAACAACTGCGACAACAACCACGACAACAACCACGACAACTGTGGCATCAACTACGACAACAACTGTGGCAACGACTACGACAACAACTACGACAACGACTACGACAACAGTGGCAACAACTACGACAACGACTACAACAACAACTGTGGCAACAACTACGACAACACCTGCGGCAACAACTGTGGCAACAACTACGACAACACCTGCGGCAACAACTGTGGCAACAACTGAGACCCAATCGGACACATCAACTTCCACCACACCTGGCACAACGCAGGGACCTACCACTAGCACAGCAACCACGACTTCACCAGGAACAACAACAGCTGCAATTACCACTACAGCAGCCACCACCACAATTTCTTCTGCGCAAACGACTACCATTTTAGACACTACCAATGCTCCTGTGACCTCTACTATGCAGAAGTCTTCCACCCCTGCGGCGCCAACAGATTTGCCATCCACAACGAATGCAACTTTTGCAACGACTGCGTCAATTAATGCCACCTTTGACACAGGCAGAGCCTGCACTGATGTGCCTCAGAGTCTCGGCAGAAAATGCGTGTGTTCCATGCCCAAAGCAAGTGCACAGCCTTTCAATCGTTGTATCCTCGGGCAACCTTTCGCGAAGTGCTGGCAAGAGTAGGTGCACTGTAGATGCCCAATCAGAAAGGAAAGACGCACCGCACACCTGATGTCAGTACGCACATCCGATATGTGTACGCATGTATGTTGTTGCCAGCAGCTTGATCCCCTCAATCAAAGCTGTACATCCGTCGCTGCATTCTTCATGTTCCGAAGCAAGCTTTGATGTATCACAGAGCCCAGGATCTCATACAAGAAAATGCAAAGAGCCAACGCAAGTTGAAGCCAAGCAAGGGATTGACAAGTCGGAGATGATGTGATGATGCTCACACGCTGTTTGTCCTTATCGTGAGCGTACTTGGAGAACAAATGTCTGGGGTTTCCGAAAATTGGGGAGCCCAGGTTCTAATCCTGAGCTGTAGAAAGTCTTGATTTTGGCACTTGTGTAACTGTGAATTGTGCCGCTTTCTGAAGATGGCTAGAAAAGAGCCGCCATGTCTTGGACATGAGCGACACTGTGACCGTTGCAGGTGACGGACAGCAAGCAGCGTTCCACTGGAGAAACAAACAGTTTGTGCGGTGGATGATTGGCTTCCCACCTTGACAGGAAAGGTGCGGCTGATGCCGGCCAACTGTTGTCGTTGCAACCAACTGATTGACCTACCGACCTCAGGATCGCCAACAGCGTGGATCTCTCCCACTGCGTGGATACGGGGAGCAACGAGAGCTGCCAGGTCGCGTGCGCAGCGGGCTACACCCATGGGGCAGCTTGGCTTGTTGGGAGCTTGGAACATCAGAATGTTTGATGTTGCAAAGAGTCATATGGTAGCCAGGCAGTCGATAATATGCGGAATCTCTAGCTCTGCATTCAGTAGTGGCTTCTGCACAGAAGATTGATTCAAAGAGCAAAGATTGGTTTGTTGTTTGCGGGAACAAACCTAGCAATTGATTTCTGACCTGCCAGCCAAAGTATGGTGTTTGCTTGTTTGAGAGCACTCCATTTAGCATGGTTTTTGTGAGCTATTGGCAGAATTGTTATTGGAGGTGTGTGGATATGAGTCGAGTTGGGATTGCTTGAGTGGCTTGGGGGAGCACAACTGGAAGGCGAGAAGCAAAGACAGTAACGTCCAGTGCAGGGGTGCGGCTTTCAACATTCCGCCGCACGTTCTTCTTCCTGGTTTGCATGCCACTTGATGAAAAGCAGAACCGGACAAAGATGGTTGTTCAGCACTGCTCATCACCAACTCTGATTGAATGCCTGCATGCTTTTCTCACTGGGACAATCAACCGGAAGCTTGCAGCAGAGCACGAATGAATGTGAGCAAACTGATGCGCTCGGTCTGCTTGTGAAAGCCCAAGCCTCTTTTGATGCCGAAACCAGCAAGGCTTGTTGACTGCTTCGGTTGAGCTCGTGTCAGTGGTGCAAGCCACAGCACGGAAGAGCCTCTCAGGTTCCACATAGTCGTGTGGAAGGTGCTGCAACTCTTGACCATGGCGCTGTGTGCAGATGGCTGCGATCAACCAAGGATTTCCCGATCTTGATCTGCCGGGATGGTTTTTGGCATGCGCAAGGCGGGCCTTCTACGATCTGCAGGTTCTGACTTCTGAGCCCGAGCGATAATAGATTCTGACTCAACCACAGTTGCACAGAAAGGCAGGCCAGCAGAAAAGCTGGCCACTGGCCTCACTGACACGATTGCTTATTGATTTGGCAGGTGCCAGCAGCAGCTTGGTCTGGGTTTTCCTTATAACTTTGCTGAGAACTTAGCCACTGCTTCGTGCTGCATAAAATTGTCAGGATCTTGCAAGTAGTTTGGAACGCGAATTCCTCTGCAATCCACAGCGCATTGGTTTTTGGCCTTCCAACCGGTCTGCGCAGGTGAATGCTTCCAGGATGGCGCGAATGCGACGCAAGTGGGCGCTGCGCAGATCCTGCTTCAGCTCAGCTTGGAGATCGATGGTGCAGCTGAAAGCGGCCTGGCAAAGGCAGAAGCGTGCGCTCGCGCGCATCATAGCCACGGACAGCGTTGCTTGTCCATACATTTTATTTGGGGAAAAGCGGATGTTCCCGACACCGTTGGGGACTACGACAACCATTGTGTCATTTGTCATGGTCATGACCAGGTCGATTTGTTTCTGCGGTCACAAACGAAAGACATGTTTTGACTGGGGACCTCACTGCGGCAGCCCGGCCACTAGCCTGCAAGCAAGCAAAACTGCACCGCACGCATGGCATACCTTCCTTCGTTGCCCAACAGCTGAAAGGTATGGGGTCTGTGCCGAGACGCTGCGGGGTGGTCCGGGGCGGCTCTGAGGTAGAGTTCTGAGGGAGGGTTCCGGGGACGCATGGGGCAGTTCCCAGTTCTGGGGATGCGTGCTCTTGAGGATGTCACCTGAGCTTATTGTGATACTCTCAACTCGAGTCTCTGTCACCATTCCTTCGCACCGGCTGAGGTGGCCTGGCCTGGGCCCAGCAGCACCAGGAGCCGCTGCACTGGGCCTTCGCCAGGACGGGCTGCGGAGAGCAAGGAACCCTGAGCCATAGCATACTGCAAACTGCGCGCGTTGCCGACTTACGTTGTCAAGGCTTCAACTCGAGGTAGACCCCGGATCCGGGCTTGATTGGAGCTGTGTTTGACTCAGTCCTTGTGAGGAATAGTCATTGCTGGCAGAGATGGTGGTGTGAGGCAGAAGCTCGGACCAGTTTCCTAGATTCGATCTTGCGTCCATGGAGATCCTTGCGGGGGGGGTCCATTCAGCCTCCGTGCAGTGTCCTCAAAACAAATGCGGCGAGATCACTTGGAGCATCCAACCTTCGAGCTACAAGCCGGTCGGAAAAGTCTTTCCAGGACACTTAGCAACCACCCGGCTGAGCTGCGCACCTTGGCAAGCAGAAAGGAGGCAGCGGAAGTGTGCTGCTTGAGTGATTCATGTTGATGTCGGTGGCCCTCGTGGTATCCATTCTTGGCAAATCGGAGCTGCAGGAGCTACAGTTGTTTTAGCAAGGCAGCAGTTTGCTTGGTCCGCTCCTCAATTAGGCTAGGCTTCGGCTGATGCCTTCTTATGCGTATTGGTTTGGACATCCTCTTAATGTTCACCCAGTGGGAGGCGGCACCAACTTTCTTCACTCCGGTGGATTGTTTGCTTTGCGTGTCGCGCGGCTTCAAGCTGGAGGGACCCTCCTGACTTGCAAACCACAACGTGGCTTGACCCGAGCATATTTCTTCAGATCATCCTTGAGAGTGCTGGTGAAACTTTCGGCAAAGCTTTCACACTGCAATGGACGCAGGTGTAGAAGCTGCAGGAAATATGGAACCTCACACAACAAACACGCCAGAAGGACATTTGTTTCATCTGATGCCATGTCCACCATGTGGCCACGATTTTACAGTCCACAAATTCAGGCACAGGCCAACCTTCACCGTGTCTTTGCGTTTGACCGTGCCAGAGGCTTCTCAGACTGAGGAAGTTTCGTGTTTCCAGTGCCATTGAGTCAACAATTTCAATACGCGTTTTTAATTGAGAATCTGTCCGCAGAAATCTGACATGGAAAGACAAGACGTGGATATCTTCGCACGCGAGTCGCCAACATCTTCGCTCGGATTGAACTGCGCGTCGCGTCGCGTCGCGTCGCGTCGAAGGCCTGGAGCTCCTGGCGCCCCCGGCGTCGGCTCGCACGCGGCGCCTTTCGGTGGCCTTCGGGGCACGGCTCACGTGGCTGCTGGGGGCGCCTCGGAAAGCCGGAGCAGCGGATCACGGACTTTTTGTCACGGACCGAAACCACACAGAGCTCGACTTGCAAGAGGAAGGCTTGGGCGTGATTCCAGGTTCGTGCTACAGCGGCTGAGTCCAATTCTGCGCTTCAGATTTGCCGCGCCAAGGCAGCGCCATCCCTCGCCGCGCTACAGCAAGCAGCGCAGGACAGCAGTCATTTTTCCTTGCCCACACTGTTGTGTAGAGGGAGGAGCTTGGCTTTATAGTCCTTGCCAAGCACAACTTGCAAAACACAGTCCCAAAGACCAAGGCTGGTGACAATCTTGCAGAACTGTCACAACCGATAGGCCCCTGGCAGTTTGAGTTCGGCTGTGTTCGCGGCTTGTGTTTTCAGGCTTTATGCCATGACCTCGGAGCTTTATGCTTTTGACCCTGCATCGTAGTAGGAGCTGGCGTCGCTTGCTGAGGCCTGGCGGGTTTCAATATCAGGGCAGAAAATCTTTACATTTGATCTCAATCACCAATATTGGAAATTTACATGCTCCACTAAACACTCCTTTGTATATAATGAGAGTAAATGTTAGAAGATGTCGATCTGCATCGCCTAATACTGAAAACAGTGGAATTTGTTCTAAAATTGCGTTGCTGTTGCCTTGCCCAGTTGCCTTGAACATATGTTGGGTGGGAGACAAACAGGAGGTGGAGTATTGACCCAACCGGCAGACGTGTTGAGGTCTTCCATGCCCAGCTGGCTAGTTGGGAATCCTTTGACATGTCAGAGGGGCTCAGAAGCGGCCATGTGGTCCTAGCTCGTCCCGGACTAATGTGGGTCGGTGCTGTTTGCCTCAAGGCCTATGCTCCAGTTCATTGAAGTTCCACTTCACTGAATATATAACTGTCCTGCAAGGAAGTGCAAGGAAGGCTGCACGCATGCTGAGTTTGAGGCTCCACCATTTGAGAACTCCCCGATCTGTAGCAAGGGTGCCCTTTGCAAAGGCCCTCCCCACACCCATCGCAAGATCATTCTCGTTTCTGTTCGTGGGGATTTGCAAACATTGTCGCTTTCGACCAAGGGAAGCCACCAAATCATTTTGAGTCGCCGTCTGCAACCGCTCGGAACCCTGAAGAATGACACCTCTAAAAGCCAGGCACAATCGCAGCAGCCTCTTGAGCGGCGGGTGCTTGATCCGAGGTAGTTCAGCCGAGCAACAGCAGGCTACTTTGCCACAGCAAGTATGCCTCACAGCCTTTGACACAAGCAACAACCTCAGTAGACCTCCCTCTGCATTTTGTGAAACGCTCATCTCAGCAGCCCGTGTGATCCGAGACGGCGACGAGTGAACCTCTCGATGAGGTGGATGGGCAGACCCGCTTCGAAACGGCGCTCCGCGAGCAGCTGAACACCACCATTGCCGCCACCGCCCAGACCAGCGGCCCAGAGGTCACCATCCGCCAGGGGGTGGGGAAGGTGCTGCCTCGAAAGGCTGCAGGGCCTCGCTTAGCTCTTTGCGTTTTTGATTGCAGGCGCGAGGGACGAATGGCTATTGACCCTGTGGGTAGGGGAGACTTCATCCATGTTGTTCTTTCGACCATCCTCCTTGCGAGGGAGCGCTGACACTATCTGAATTCTTGGCAAAATTCTATGGTGGCTGGCATGTGATAGGTCAATTTTCCAGCTGGCAGGGCGCGGCGTTCCGACTGCCAGAATCAACTCACTATCCTATTGCCTTCAAGTTCCAGCTTCATGGCTAGCTTTCTTTATTTGACATGTTGAAGGCGTATGAAGCAGAATGGGACATTTGATATAGTTGCTTGTGTTGTAGAGCACACACACACACACACACACGAGAAAGCGCGAACACAAGGGAATCATACTTGCCGCCGTTATTCATAGAACGTTACTTGCTGAACGCTGATGTATTCTTCTGGATCCCTCCATTGATTGACTTGGGATTGACCACATTCGGGTACCCAGTATTTGGTCAAGTCAGTCCTTTCCGTTCTTGGGACAGTGTTTGCTTCTCGGTGTTAGGAATCACAAGCAGCGCAACAAGGCAAAAAAAAACCACTCGGCTAGCCCGAACGGTGGGCGGGAAATGCGGGCTTTCAAAAGGGACTAGGATTTGAATGTCGCACCAAGATTTCGTAGTGGGCTGCACAAAAAAGGATTGTCGTTCGAGTGATTTATGTAGATTGCTACCAAGTCAAACTAGTGTGACAAACTCTGTGTGAGTGCAACTAGTGGGTGCCATGGATGCCATGGGGCACCGCAGGTGATCGAGGGCTACCTCCTGCCGGAGGCCCACTGGCAGCTAGGCGCTTGGGACACCGCCAGCTGCGACGCCGTCTGCGCGGATGGCGGCAACCTGTCGGCGGCGGAGGAGGTGGCGGAGGTCTTCTGCAGCCGGGGGATGTGGATGCTGTGTGCAGGTACCGAGCCAAGTTGCCGGGTTGCGTCACAGGCTCCAACAGCGCTGCGCGGTGCTCTTCCTGGGCCCACTTTCAACGCAATGATAGTCAACCAATACCAACCGAGGTTCGACTTCACTAGTTTTTTGTCACTTGTGAGTGGGGAAGGATTGCTTTGAATGTTGATGGCCGTCACTGATGTAAGCCACATTTGTCCTGTGCTGACCGCTAGATCTAAATACTGTGGCGATTGAGAGTGCATGTCGAGATTCCGCCCCTGTGGCCTGAAACTGTCGCAAGCACGGTGCAATCCTCCTGCGCTCTCCTGCAAGCCGAAACAAGGGGTGATACGTGTTGGGGAAGGATCATTTAGGGAAAACATCAGTACTTAAGCAGCAAACTGGCATGAGATGATGCACTTGTCCCGACCAACAAGACACATTTGCTGTGGCTCTCATTAGCCACACCAAGTTGCCTCAAAAGGCACTTGGTGTTTCTTGGAACTTCCCCAATTAGATAGCAACAAGTAAGTGGAGCTACGCGGCATGGGATTCAGTGGAAGCCTATGCACGCCCTGGCTCCTTTCGATCAGCAGAAGCACAGGCCGAGAGACTGCAGGCGACCATTGCTCAGCTTCAGAAATTTCAAGGCTTTGATAGTTTCCTTCAGAGACGACTAAGTCGAACAAGTCCTTGCGTGCCTTGGGATAGGTCATCTAGACTGGGGGATCTCGACGGTGCAATGCACCTTAGAGTATTGCGGGAGCAGCCAGCTGTTGGAAGCAGAATCCATTGAGAGGTGACTAATAAGGTGCCAGTCTGGGCCATGGACTTGTTCAAGCAACATCTCCCGCTTCTCTTTCCAAAGGGAACCTGACATGTTTGCTAAAACCTAATCGAGGTGAAGAGAAGCCAAGGTCTTCTGGATGCCCAGGTGCAAAGAGTTTTCCCATTGTGTTGAGATCGGCTCGAATTCTCACCAAAGAAGAGGACAACATCCCCTTTTGGTTTGCTGCGCGCCGACCTTTATTAGATTTCAGGACCCAACAAGCCCACTGGCCCAAAGGCCCCGCGGAAGCCTTCGCCGGCAGCCCGCCCAGCGGGACGCGGCCCTGCCGCCAGTGTGCCGCGGGTCCCCAGGCGGCAGCCAGTTTCTTCCAATGGCAACGTGGTTGCGTGAGCCGTGTCGGATTTCCATTCGGAAAGTGGACAGGTGAGGGTCGGCGTGAGATCATGTCTTTTTGCAACTCAACGCATTTTGTGCTTTGTGAAAACAACATATCAGACAGGGACTTGGACCCCAGCAAGAGGGTACCCTCTTGCTTGTGCCGCTTCGGGGCACTGCCAATACCTGCTAGAAGAAGCACCTCCCCGAGATCGGCTTCCCGACGTTTCATGCCAGTAGAGTCTGCAATCTCGGCATCGGGTGCAGTGAAGGAATCAATCATTGGCTTGGATCGTCATACAGAACCCTTTCAGATGTCAGTGTGGTCTGTTCTGTGCCAACAGAGCCATCGGTTTCACCGGAGCCAGGAGGCAGCGGTGCCAGTGTGGGCAGTGTTGCTGGGGCTCGCAGTGGGCTTTTGTTGCTGCACGCACCTCGACGGGAAGAGGTGGGGCGATGGGGCTCTGCCTCGACCCAACATTTGGGGGATGGTCAAAACTAGGGCGAATTGTCAGAATGACAATCTGTCATTTGGAGATCACTTTGGTCACATTTGTTCACGTGTCGGGGCGTACGCTTGATTCTTTCTACTGCAAAATTTGCCCACGGGCACTGATCTAAAGCAAAGAGGGAGTCACTCGTCAAGCCCCGCCCACGCGCACACAACACAGGCAGTCCCATGATAGGTTTGATAGGCTGGTGCCTCAAAGATTTGGGCACCAGCCTTGCATGATTGCTTTACCCGCGCTTTCTTGGGGAGAGGCTTTGGCCAGTCTTGAGCCTTTTTTAGCGAATGCAGTCATTGGATGAGATGCACTTTGCTTGCTTTGGTTGCACTGCTACCTGATCTTATCCATGTTTCATTGTTCAGCGTGCGTCATTCTTGAGCAGCTCTGGCATGTTCGCTCATAGACATTGCCCATCTCCGCCTCTGCGGTCAAGTCTTCAGTGCCTGCGATCGGTCATCCCCCTCCTTCCCTCCGCAGTTCTCCGCGGGGCCAACGTCGAGTCTCCACGGGGCCGAGCGCATTCACCGAGGATCTTGGGCGTGTTCCTGGCCGGGAAGTGCCTCAAGTGGGTGGCGAGGGCCATGCCGGCGACGCCGTTCGCGGGGAAGCAGAACCTGAAGGACATGAAGATGGAGGCACCTCGATTGGTGCTTCGACGGGCCAGTTGAGCCTTGCGCATTTGTGTGGCGAAGCGAGCAAGTATCAGGTCGCACGCACGCACGTACGCTCACGCACGTACGCACAGGCGCACACACGCGCACGCGCACACGCACTCGGGCGCACAGGCGCACGCAGGCTTGCAAGAACCCACCCACACCACCCACAGAAGAGACAGAGACAGAGACAGAGACAGAGACAGAGACAGAGACAGAGACAAAGAAAGAGACAGAGACAGAGACAGAGACAAAGACAGAGACAAAGACAGAGACAGACAGAGACAGAGACAGAGACAGAGACAGAGACAGAGAAAGAAGAGACAGAGACAAAGACAGAGACAGAGACACAACAGACAGAGACACAAGAGACAGAGACGCAACAGACAGAGACAGAGACGCAGACAGAGACAGAGACAGTGACAGAGATAGACAGAGACACAGAGACACGCACCTGCGCACGCACACGCACGCGCGCGCACGCACATGCGCACGCGAAGAAACACACGCACGCGCACGCACACGCACACGCACAAGCACACGCACACGCGCGCACGCACGCACACGCACACGCACACGCGCACCCACACGCGCACGCACGCGCACGCGCACGCGCACGCGCACGCGCACGCGCACGCACACGCGCACGCACACGCACACCAACACACACACACAAACACACACTTCAACTCCCAAGGGAGGATGCTCATCGTTCGAGTACAGCTGATGAGTCTCGAGTACAACTGATGAGTCTCGAGTGGGATATGTTTCGGCTCGCGATACACTCGGCTTCCCTCTAGTTACTTCAGCAGGGAACCAAAAAGCAACGGCGGTTCAGGCTGATCAGGCCAGATATCAGCGCAGGTCACGACCCTCTTCGTTGGGTCACCGGTCGTGACTGCGGGTGACCCCCCTGCTGACGAATAACGGTTGGTGGCAGGGTATTCTGCCACTCCGCACACACACGCCCCTCCACGAGGGGCGTGCACCACCTTTTGCATCCGGAAGACCACGTGCTCAACTCCCTACTGTCTACCAAAATATCCACAGCGGCGAGGAGAACGAGAAATTGCACGCTCTGTACGGTGCCGCTCAGAAGACGGGGAAGTAGGATCTCCAAGTTGAGCAGGAAGTGGGCCGCCTCTGTGTCCTGCAATGGATGGCAAGACCGGCGGAAGGAGCAGGGAGGATGGATGTGTGGTGTCCGTCATAGGCGGGGCGTAGGTGAATATATCCATCAGATTACGATCTTGTTGCCGAAGACCATGCTGAGAAGAGCCCAGTTCTTCCGCCTGGATGGAAAAGTCCAGATTAGATTGTGCACGCCCTCACGCTGATGATCAGAAGGATTGTGGGTGGAGAAAGACTCATAGCGGGTCAATATCCGCTGGTATCCTTTTTGCTGCCAATCCTGAATGGTCCAGGCTTGGCGGTGATCATGCGCATCTTGAGTTTCCTCACTTGGCGAGACCACCGGTTTCCAAACTCGAAAAGTGTTCTCTGGTAGGACAGGTACGTCATCGTCCGGGTGCCATAGTTGAGGTTACCCAGGAGTGTAGACCCTTACCCACTCTTGTTCCTGCCAGACTGAATACTCTAGCCATGGTTGTTGAATGCCATCCAGGGCCCGCGCTGAGGACGTGGCATCAATCTCCATGTTGAGATGGAAGAGAGGGTGCGCCACGATATCCGATCCAGCTAGCAGCGCCAAAGAGCCAGCAACCATGCGCGACAGACAACACACAAGCAAGCAAGACATCAAGGGAGCGCCATTTTTCCGAACGTCCATACGTGTCTGTCTACTCAGCAACTAGTTCAAAAACGGACTTCTCCTTTTAAGAAGCCACAACCCCCCCCCCTTTACCCCCCCCTGCTTTGGGCCAAATAGGTGGGAAGCTTCCCGAAAGCCTTGGGGAAGCTTCCGGAAGCCTTGCGGAAGCTTCCGGAAGCCTTAGGGAAGCTTCGGGAAAAAGGGGGGGAGATTGAAACAAGGGTGGTCCCCCCCTCCCCCCCCCTTTTTCCCAAAGCTTCCGGAAGCTTCCCCAAGGCTTCCGGAAGCTTCCGCAAGGCTTCCGGAAGCTTCCGGAAGCTTCCGGAAGCTTCTGGAAGCTTCCGGAAGCCTTGCGGAAGACTTACGGACTTCTGAAGCTTCGGGGGAGCGGACGGGAAGGGCAGGGGACGGGGAAGGAAGGGGTGCGAGGGGGACGAGCATGAGCGTAGTGGTGGGTGTCATTTTCCAGGGCTTGTCGTGCCGCCAGTCAGTGGGGAACCCTTTGGGAGCCAAATACTTTAACAGTGTTACAACACTCCAATAGCAGTGCTATAGCATGTCTCAAGGGGGGGGGTAAGGGAGGGGGGGGTTTATGCTTTCTTAATCCTTGACCTCGGAACTGCTGGGGCGGCTTGCGGGCAGATAAGGATCAGCGACTCCAGCAGATTCAGCCTGAAGAGGATCAGCGTCACGAGAAGCGCGTACCGGCTGATGAGGCCGTACTGCTTGCCGCGTTCGGTCCGCAAGTTGTTGGCTAATCCCTGCTTGTAGACGAGTCAAATCTTCGGTAGAGAAGGTCGATGCATCCGAGGATCGTAGTATCGCCTCCAACACTTGTGGGGACATGCGCAGGATCGACGACTGCGTGGCTACGCTGTGATGATCAGGGGAAAAAGTCGACGCGCAGTGACTGTCTGGTTCCGGGGCTTCGACACGCCTGTATCCTTCAGTGGTCCAGTCTCGCCTGTACCATGCTTGAACGCCGTCTTGAGAATGAACCTGGTTGTAGAACAACTTCCATTCCCTGTACGTATGTCGCGGAGGAGGGTCATCATGTTCTTCTTGCAGTGTCCATGTACCTGGATGAAAGATCTTGACCCGTTGGGAGTCCGGTCGTTGAGGATCAGGGCACCATTCTAACCACGGCATGATGAGTTAACAGCGACGCACACGGCTGCAGGCGGGAAACACCTCATGCCATGTGAAACTGAGCATGCCAGTCAACCTCACGTGACTCAAACCTGCACTCAAAGCACTTGCAACACCGAGCGCAGCGCTTTATAGCTAGAGCCAACTCAGGTGTCGATGTCACTCGACCCAGTCAAAGCTAGGATCATATGGAGGTGAAGGAGGACACCAACCACCATCTGAGACCGAAGATGTGGACGAGGATGACAATCCAGCGTACATGAGACCAGGCGATCCTGACGGGAAAACAGGCCGTGCTATGCTCGGGTGTGGATTGCCGAGTCGTTGGTATCCTCTGGTATACCAATCACGATATTGCCATGTGTAAAAGGACGCATAGGAGACCGGCTGGGCGAGGGAGTCTGCAATGGTGCCTCCCGTGCTGTCGCGAGGCCAGTAAACTTCAAAGTGGCAAAACCTGCGCCACTCACGATAAGTGGACGAGTCATCCGGAGCCGGTCCCAGGGTGGATTCTGCGACAGGCTGCCACTGGCCTGGTATGTAAACTCGAATCCGTTCAACTCTGGTGTTTCCAGGGCCACGCACGATGTTGTACTCAAAGTAGCGCGGGAAGGGCCATCTCTCGGTGGTCGTCGAATTGAACATAACAACCTAATCAGCCGCTATAAGACAGAGAGAAGTCTGCGAGAGTAGGTACATGTAGACAACAAAAGACAAGGCAACCCACGCACAAGCAACAAGCAAATCAAACAATGTTTTCACTCAGATTGTTCCTTGTCTTCCTGCTACTGCCGCTGATGACGTGCGCATCGGCAATGAACATGTCCCGGTTGACGTCGCGCGCAAGGAGAAAGACACTTCCGGCCACTGTGCAGCAGGGCATGGCAGTAGTGTTTGCATCTCGTAGTTCTGGACCTTGTAGCACGAGTCAATCGTTTGGGAGTGAACACGGTGTGGTCTCCGAGAGTAGCGTTCTGCCACTGACGATGTGACACTTTTCACGGTTCGATCACGCTTGCGAGTGCATTTGGATTGTCGCGTAGATGATAGACTCCGCGCGCGGTGCTGATGATCGCCTGCACGAAGACGGCCAGTGCTGCGCGCTGATTGCCACATCCTGATCTGTGGCTCCAATGTAGTATGGGGGTGCCATGGCGAAATCCTTATGTAGACGCACGGCTGCTGATGATGGCCCGGTTCATGTGTGAAGTCGTAAAGGTCAGGAAGGCGAGCACGAAGTGATTTGAGGTGCCGCTGATCGGCGAAGGAAGAGTACATGATCTCGCGAAGCAGCGACGTTTTGTAGAAGTGAAGCTCCTCGAAAAACGGAGGGATGTATCCATTGTGCTGCGAAATAAGTCGCTGCAAGAAACAAACAAAGAGGTACGCTGTCATTCGGCATCTGTAGATCTCGCACCTGTTGGCTACCACATGTCGGGTGTGTGACATCGCCGTCATTGGAATCTGGAGCGCGTTGCGAACCAGGGTGAGCACCTCCAGGACCACGTCTAAATGAGGTTGTTGATGAATCGATTCATACTCATCCGGGGGCACAGCTGGTAGCGGGAGTTCAGGAAAGCAAAACCGCCAACATGCTGAGACAAACGTCACCGTTTCCAGAAAGGTAGACAAAGTGTGCCATTGTGCAACGTCATCGAAGATGCCGCTGCGTTGAAGTTCAGTCCACATGATGCACAACCGGTAAATCAGTGCGGCGAGGCGGCAGCGATATGCATACACTCACAAACATGCTCAAGTCAAGCAGAAGAACATGCTATGACAAGCACTCAAGGCAAGGAGATGCAAGTTTTCAAGCGCAGATCATGATGCCACCTGCCACTCCGGGCTCATACTAGCTAGGAAGGAGCACTTGAGCCGGCAAGAAGTCGAGCAGTCACAATGAGAAGGCAGAGCGCCTTGTCCGTGAGCTTGGTGCTGTAGACGGGCTCCAACCCCCACAAGGAAGCCATTGAAGCAAAGGTCGGAGCATCTCCTTTCGCCAAGCGTTGACGTGCTTGCTGAAGCTGAACTGCCATGGCATCCAAGGATTTGTTGCCATTGA